AAATCTATGGAAGTGGTTAAGATATGTATTAAGGGCTGCGGAAATATATTTCATAGATCAAAAGATAAGGTGTTCATCCTCATACATTTCTGGTGAGCGTATAAAATGGCATAACCTTAGCCACCTTGGGAAACAACTGGGCATTTCCTCAATTGTTGACCCAGCAGTTCCATTCCTAGATACTTACTTAAGTACAAAACCTGAATGTGCAGCATTAGCAGTAGCATTCATGATAGCCAAAATTGTAGAAACCACCCAAATATCTGAGCAGATAAACAAAATTTGTAGTCTACCCAAATAATGTATATTAATGTTTTTATTTCTGGCATAAAAAGAAATAAAATTATCATGAATAAACCTTGAAAATCTTTTGCTAAAAGTTAGTTCCAAAAGACCACATAAATCGTGTGCTTTCATATTAAATGAAAAGCCCAGAATAGGCAAGTCTGTTGAAACAGAAACTTGAGTGGTTGCTGTGGATGCAGAGTTTCCATTTAGGAGGATGATAATATTCTGCAATTATATATTGTTAATTGTAAACATTGTGAAAACACTAAAACTCAACCAGATTAGACACTTAAAGTTCATCAAAAAGGGAAAAGTTCATTTTCCTGCTCATTGCATATACATCCATTGGAATTTTTCTGAATCCAGAAGTTCTTTTAGGCATTACTGCTTGATTAGAATTGGCACTTACTGTTAAGCCTATTTGCTGGTCTTTGTATAAATCAAATTTGTTGAAAATGTTTATATTTATTTTGGATATAAATACGAATTGTAGAAAATTTGATCAAAATATTATGTCTAATAATACATTATATTAGAGCAGTTCATATACTTTTTTGTTTGTCTTTTTGTAAAACAATCTTTAGATATTACCTAAAAGTTTAGCATGTAAAATTAGGTGCGTAGAGTGAAATGGGAAGTGTGTGGAGCTGCTTGGAGTAGAATGGGAAGTGTATGAATGGGTACGTACCAGCAAAAGCTAGTTAGCTTAGAGCAGCGCAGTCTACTTTAGTTCTATCCCCCTACCACTAATAACTTCTCTAGACACTTTCTTTCAACCTTGTTTGAGAAGATTGCCAGAGTCAAAAAGCTTAATCAAGTGGAGAGAATGCATTCATGGTAATGAAGAGGCCTGACTTGTAACTTATATTTGTATTTAGCTGTGGAAGTATGGATCAATCACTTAATCTTTTGTCTCTGTTGTTCATCAGTGAAAGAGGTCATTTGAAATAGATATTTCTTGACCTTTTCCGGGTTTATGATTTTAAATTAAAGAATCTGACTAGTCAAAACCTTTACTGTTATGAACAATAAAAAGACAAAGCTAAGAAAAGTCATAAAGAAGCTTGAACAAATTCTTTTTTTTTTTTTTTCTTTTTTGAGATGGAGCCTCAAGCTATCCCCCTGGGTAGAGTGCCATGGCATCATGCTCACAGCAACCTCCAACTCCTGGGCCCAAGCGAGTCTCCTGCCTCAGCCTCCCAAGTATCTGGGACCACAGGCACCCGCCACAACGCCTGGCCATTTTTTGGTTGCAGCCATCATTGTTGTTTGGCGGGCCCGGGCTGGGGATTCGAACCCACCACCTTAGGTATATGTGGATGGCACCTTAGCTGCTTGAGCCACAGGTGCCGAGCCTGAACAAATTCTTTACCAAAGATGCATAAAGCATTATTAGTCATAAGAGGAATCAGAGTTAAAATCACAATAAAGTTTACTTTTACTGGAATAGCTATGATTAGAAACACTGGCAGTACCAAATATTTATGAGGATGTGGAACAAGTGAAGGTCTCATATTTTGTTTTACTGGTATGAATATAAAATGGTCATGCTGAAGAACTCGTAGGCAGTATGAGTCATCTACGCTAGTACGCAGTAGTCCAGTTCCCAGGTATTGACTCAAAAGAATTAAAAACATTCCACAAAAATATTTGTATAAGATTATCCATAGCAGCTTTGCTCATAATAGTCAAAACCCAAATATTCATGAAAAGGTGAATAAAGAAAATGTGATATATTTATACAATGGAATAATAATCAACAATAAAAAGGAACAAATTACTGAAATACATATCATGAATGAATCTTAGAAACTATATTGAGAGAAAGAAGCTAGATAGTACATACATAAATCCTTAGAAAATAGATACCTGAAGTCCAAACACAGGCAATTAGATAGAAATCAGAAAGTGGCAGAAAGTGGTTACGTCCACCAGAAGGGCTGTTTGACTGGAAAGGGGCACAGGAAGCTTCTGGATTGGCGATTAGGTTTTATGTCTTGCTTTGGGTATGGATTTATATAGTTACCAAAACTCAGTGACATGAACACATGAGATGTAGACTATTTAGACTATTGCATGTAAATTATTGTTTCTCAAATTTAAAAGTGTTAAGACAGTTGAATAAAACTTAAATTCAAAATTGGCTCTGTATCATCCCTGAAGAAGGATTACAGATTCCAGTATGAGGCAGAAACAGTGGGATTGAAGAGCTAAGGATAGTCATGGAGAAGAAAAACTGGCGGGGAGGGAGGGAGCAAGTCAAGTATATGCTAGGAGTTTAATTCATTTATTAACTTACTATTTTTTTTAATTAATGAGAATTTCTACTTATTTTCTAGGATAAGTAAATTATATATTAGCTCTAAGGAAAACATAATTGTGTTTCTAGGGTTATCCCACCTATCACATACAGTAGAACCTCTGTAAATCGAACACCCAAGGGACCGTGACAAACTGGTGAACCTGTGAAGTGATCAGCATAAGCAACTGGGCCTCCTGTGCTGATAAAAATCCATGTGGTGCATGTCCAGTCTATGAAAATTAGGTCCACTTGAAGTGGTCCGTGTAGGGATGTCGTCAACTGTGGAAGTTCTACTGTATATTCAGCTTACACTTCATTTGTTTCATTTATAGTTCATTTGAAGTTTGATCTGTACTGTGTTTTCTAACTGCCCAGATGTTTTCCTGAATATATTTAGATTCTTAGTGATTTATTTTTGAAATGCTTATACAATCCTGCAAACATCTGAAGCTTTCTGTTTCCTAATCTTTGTGGTATTTGGAGGGAAATTTTTTTCTCTTGATTTTTCCTGCATGAATGAAGTCATCATAGCCAACTTTTAATTTCATATTTATTCCCCTTAAAAACATGAGAAAACAACAGCCAATTAGTATGTAATTACATTATGGTTTCTAGTAGGGACCATCAGAAATGCTGATATGCTAAGCATTACGCTAATAGCCATCTGTGTTTGGATAGCATCTTTTGAAATCTGAAGATATCTTCCATATCCATGTTTCATGAATAGACTCACTTATCTCTTGAGTAGGTGTAAACTCAAAGCAAAAGTGATTTTTCTTTGAAAACTACGTTTCCCTATCTGCGGAGGTCTACTCTTCTATTTTATGTTGTTGATGACCACATTGTTAAAATGTAAAGAGCTAGGTGTGTTATAGGTAAGTGGCTAATAAGGAATTACATAATTCTTCAGGAGGAAAGAATCAGACCATTTTTTAAAAGCAGTTATTTGGGAATATGTTTCAGTTTATATTTGATACTGTGACCCTTTGGGTGATCCTTTGAAATAAAAAAAATTCTGTGATGTCTGGAGTCATCCTAGTTGGATATTAGAAAAGCATATAGTATCAAAGTAATTTCTCATCCAGTTTCAAAATACTGATATTTTTGGAACTGGTTACTTTAAATATATTTATATATTCCTGGAACAAACTCCTTTATTGATCATATAAAACTAAAAAGGTTATAAAATTATTCCAATTAGAGTTTTACAGTGCTAGAAATTAAAGATATATTTAACTGATTTTTAATTTTTCCATTTTTTTTCTTAACTAGGTCCTTTCTGATGTTGCTTGAGCTTATTCTCCTGCAGTTGATCTCATTCCTGTTGGCTAAACATTAAGTCCCATGGCAACATTAAGTTAATGTTAATATGTTTTAGGCCTCATTTGTACTACCAGAACAGTGTTATAGAAAAAAAACTTCATCTGTACATTAGATGACCTAATTCCTTTTCTTCTATTCCTAGAAACACCATGCCTTTTATAAATAATAATTTTATATTTCATATAAAATTACACCATTGTTACACTCTTGGCTTATTCTACACTAAAGAACATAGTTGAGTTTTTGGAAAGTAGAGGATTTACAAATTTGGTCTTAAATATACACATACATATATGTATGTAAATAAATATTACAATTAATGATGCAGGAAATTATTGATGCATAAGATGAATGTTTATTGTGGAACAATAATATTTCAAACATAATTGTTTTTAATAATTCGGTTTAATTTTTTTGGATATTTTTCTATACTATAAGTTGATAATGGTTTCTTGAAGTTTATTTTATAAAGATGATTCATTTTACTGTTTTATGGTATCAGTAGGACTCTAATGTTAAATTGGTGTGTTGAGTTACATAATTGTTTATATTAGTATTTAAATAATGAAATATTGGACAGTTTGTTCACACAAATGTTTCTGCAGTCCAGGGGTGAATATTTCTGCTAGTTTGATGCCTAGTATGGTTTCAAATAAAAAAAGAAAAATCAAAAAAAACCAAACAAACAAAAAAAAAACAAATATGAATTTACTGTTTTTACTTTTTCTTCATGACCACCCCTTAGTGTCATAACCAAATTTAAATGAAGCTTCTTTGTGGAGCTAGAGAAATCAGAGATTCTCTTTTTCTATAATCAAAAAAATTTAAAAAGATGTACAAGAATTTATGCCTAGTAAGATCTCTGAAGCACTGTGTCAGTAAAGGGAATAATACTGACTGATAAAATTCTCAGGATTTGCAGTACAGTGAAGGCTGCAATAGTTTTTACCAGCAATATAGTATCATCAGGATTTTGAATGTTAAAACATTATGTTAAAATGTGATTATAGTTTTATGCTTTGTCTCTTTGAATTAACTTTATGTCCATAAAGATGTGCAGTATAATTGTTCATGTATTTATTTACAGACTACAATTTTCGTCGCAGCTCAATAAATAGTCTTTCCCCTGTTAGTGCTACCCTCTCTTCTGGGACTCCCAGCGTGCTTCCTTATACTTCAAGGCCTTATTCTTATCCAAGCTATCCCTTGTCACCAACAATATCACTTGCTAATGGCAGCCATGTTGGACAGCGACTATATATCTCCAATCAGGCCTCATTCTTCTGAAGAAAATACTGTAAACATTAGTATGAAAATTTCTTTGTGTAAAACATGCAAATTAAAATACTGTTTTAGAATCGGGTTTGCACATTTGGTTTTAAAAAAATAATATATTTATTCCAACATACTAAACATCAGTTATAAATCAGAATAACAGAGTTGTACAATATAAAGAAGTGTAAAGTTTAAAAAGTTATTCAGTGATTTTTCTTGATAAAGGTATAGCAAACTACTTTTTAAACTCTTGGAATTTACATCTAATTCCTGGGTGGGCAGGAGAACCCAGCAGTTTATGTTAATTTTTGCATAATAACTTTGCTAAATAGCTTTTCATAAATATTGAAGCACTTGAAGACAATGGTTATACTACATTTGATTACCAAGGATCACTATCTGTATTGGAGATTAGAACAATTATATAACCAGAAGCATTTTAACCATTATGTGAAAAGAAATGATGAGGCAGAAATATGTAACACAGATTTTATTCAGTATTAACAAAAAAAAAAAAAGCCTACCATTGTCATCTTTGAAAATAACTACAGATATTACAGTTAACAATTACTTGTTATAAAAATTATAATTTTGTTGTTAATATATTTAGGGTTTTTATAGTTATGCTTCATTTGTGTTTTTTGATATTCATTGTATTGTTTGAATAAGAAGTGTTATGGTTTTTAAATGTTGAAATCATGTGTTGTTTAATTTTTGTACTTGAATTCAAATTCTTTGACATTAAATATATGATGCTTCCAAAGCGTGTGTTTTATTTTTCTTAGAGTGCAAAAAAAAATTTACCTCTAACAATCATTTCACTTTCCTTGAGACAATTGTCCTTAGTAGGCCTCACCCTAGAATCATAGGTGTTAAGCTCAGAGTCTTTATGAGACCAACATCTTTAGTTTTGTAAAATAGTAAGAAAAATCATTTTCAAGGACCAATAGAAATATTTTATATTCTATCAGATAGACCCACCAAAGTTTCCCTCTTTAACTTTTGAATAATTAATGACTTTGAGTCATTTTGACTATTGATACCACAAACAAAAATTAGATATCAAATGTTACCTTTATCTGTTACCTTTGTGCAGCTGTATGGGACATATATTTTGAAAATATATAATTTGAAATGGTCACAGATCTTTTTTTCTACCAACTTGAGTTTCAAGCATAAGTTATATTAAATTACTCTTAAGTTTTTTCATCCTGTACAGTGGGTTTATTCCCTATAAATCATATGCAATATTTACTTTTCTAATTGCCTTAGATTATCCAGTTTAAATAAGCATAGATACTATACTTAACTAATATTATTTTCCTAGTATAACTGTGTTTGAACTATAAATTTCACAATCTAAGTACCATGAAAACGTGGCTCAAAGGTGCATATCACTCATTCAGCAAAACAAAAGAGTGCTCATTTTGTTAGCTACTGTGGTAATACCCTTCTGGTACAGAAGTGACTCAAGCTCCAATTCAGAAGAAAAACAGACACATTTAGCTTTATCATAGAAAATGAAAATGTTTAAAATGGCCTAAGTTATTACGAGTTTTCAAATAGCATTTTCACTTTGGAAAAATGAAATTGTAAATAATTGAGAGAGTTACTGATCATGCAGTGCATTTGAGATCCATGATAATGTAATCAGAAACATACACACTTTGGTATCTGATTTGATTTCCACTTCTGCCAAGTAACAGCTCTTTGGACTTGGATAGTTTTTAGCTTCTCCAAGTCATTTTCTTCAGCTTTATAAAATGGTGATAAATTTAAATACCTGGCAAATGGAAGGCAGTTAAGTGATACCTGATATTTTTTTGGTATAATTAGATGAAGATTGTTGTACTTATTTATTTGTAGTTTTTTTTAATCCCTTTTCTCTTTTAACCAGAATATTAGAAATCACTGCATTCATATCACTTTCCATGATTTTTTGGAATATGCAATTAATCTTGTTCATACCGAATACAATTTTTGCAATTTTATTTGGCTTGTGAACGTAGCTGCTAATTATTTGCTGCTTTAATTCTTACAGCATAGGTTGAGTAAGGAATTTGCTCCAAATGAGGGCTTTCCTATTAAGTTGCTTACAAACTACTGAGAAATCTTAGCCATATGATACAGCTCATTGGGCAGGGAAACCATTCTACAGACAGACTTCATCAAATTTTGTATGTAACTTTGTTCAAAGAATCATTCCTGAGATGTGGGAGTATTACCTATTTGTGGAGTCATGATCTGTCTTGCTTAAAAATCCTTGTAAGCAGAATGATCAGAAAGGTATGTAGAAAGTTCAGTTAACCTTTTTTTACAATGCTTAGAAGGGCAAGTCTATAACTCAAAATCCAGAAGCTGTAATAGAAAAGGTTGCTAAACCCAATTTAAAAGAAAAGGCCAGATATTAAAGTACCATAGGTAATTTGAAGGACAGTGACAAACTGGAACAAGATTTGTACATTTCACAAAGGAGTAATCTCTAATTCTAGCTATCATTAAGAAAATGACTAAAAACCTCAGATAAAAACGGGTAAAATATATGAATAAAGGTGACTTATGAATGTATTTAAAATAGTTTATTTCAAAAGGGAAATGCAAATTAAAAATTAAGCTTGGCAGAAATACACAAGTTTGCTAAACTTTTGGTGAGCCTTTAAGGAAATGAATATTCTCTTATTGCTGGTGGGATTAAAAATTGGTGACTTGGCAGTTATCCAAAATTACAAATACTTAAAACTTTCGATCCAGCAGTGCTACTTCTGGGGTGTGTATGTAAGAGAAAGACAAGAGTGTGATAGAAATGATACATGTAAAGAGTTATTTATCATTAGGGGAATGGTTAGATAAGAATAGATTTATTAGAACATCCAAGAAGCTGTATAAAGGAGAATGAGGACTTTTATTCCTGATATAAAAAGAGACGATGGTTAACAATGTTAAGTGAAAAATCACAAGGCTTAGAAATGTATGTGTAATACAGTATGCTGTGTTTTTGGTAAATAGGAAAAGAACACATGTATGTATTTATATTTGCACACAAAACTCTGGAAGGAGCCACAAAAAAAACAAGTGGTTATAAAGAGAAGTAGATAATTTCACACTGTAGAAGTCTCTTTTACTTCAGACACAATGGAATAATAATTTTAAGTAAAAGACAATTATTCTCAGAAACAATAATGAAGAACTTTAGTGAACAGTAATATGAACAGAAATACATTAGGAAAAGCACTGGTTCATTTACTGAGTGACCCAAAGTTAATAGATTTTGAGTAGAAATCCAAGACTAAAGCTCTTCAGACGGTCAACATCACTGCAAGCAACTATGCACTTCACTACCTTTGACTCAGTGGGTCAAACTACACATTATCCACAGCTTCAGCATAACTAAAGAATACTATAATTTTTAAGTTATCTGTTTGTAAAAGTACACATGGACATCAAATTCTAGCACTTTTTTTTAGTTCTTGCTACAAGCCTTTGGAGTTGATAGGAATAATTTCAGAAGAGAAGACAGGAAAAAAAGGGGTTTAAGGATGAGGTAACAATGTCTACTTCAAGTGTGGAAAAGTTGTAAAATAATCCTGGTATATAGAAATACTAACTAAAGGAAAATGACTTAAAGTTGTGTGAACATGAAATGACTGTCTTGGGAAGGCATCACTCTGGAAGAAAAGAGTCTAGGGAACTGGGACGTGCCCTTTGAATGTGGGTAATAAAGGGGAAAAAAGTGTTGGGAAAATGTAGGATTCTACAAAACAAATGAGAACCAAAAAATAAAAGAATGAGGTGACATTAGTAAGATGGTGGAATAGGAATCTCTAGACTTCTCTTCCCTTGTGAAAACATGGATTTAATAATACACAGGCCAAAGTAAAGCTTAGGAAAATTTGCAGCATCACCAAAGCAGCTACCTATAATATGGTAGGGCTGGAATGGAAAGAAATGCTCACTTCTTGTTTTCTCCCTGGAGAGGGAAAGAAGTAGAATGTATTATGGGTCCAACATTTAGACGTTCAGTGTGGTTTACCAGAAGGGTCAGTTTTTATTTTGCTTGAATCCAAAAACTAACAGGAACGGAGGCTCCAGTTTGGGGATCTCTGAGGAAAAGCATATAACATTCGCATCACAGTACAGTCTGCAGTACCATGAACAAACACTAGATGTGACTCCAGCATATCTTACCATATAGACTTGTGAGGCCACAGTATGGCAGATAAAAGAACTGGTAAACCATTTCAATTAGGAGACTATACACACAAGACCAAAGAGGATACATATTCAGAAAACGCTTAGGAGATCTTCAGAAACTCTAGCTGGGCTGAGTGGAGAGAGCTCTGTCTGTATGAAACCAGATCACAAAATCTGGTAGAGGAGGCTGATTTTTCAAGTGGCAAAATTCCAATAAAAAATAACAAGACACATACACACACACACAAAAAACCCCAGAAAAGCATGGCACATTAAAAGGAATAAATAAAATTTACAGAAACCAAAATTCAAGAAATGTATAAACATGAGTTAAGAAAGAATTAGAAATTACTGTTATAAGGATGCTCAGTGAATGGAAAGTGAGCATAAATAGGCAATTAAATGAAATCAGGGAAACTACGTAAGAACAAAATGGAAATACCAACAAAGAGAAACTATGAAGAGAGGTCAAACAGTAATTTTGAAACCAAAAATACACAATAACAATCAAAAAATTCACTAGAAGGAAATCAATAGCAGACTTTACCAGTCAGAAGAAAACATTAGCAAACACTGAGGTCAGGACGTTTGATACTACCAAGGCAAAGAAGGAAAAAATAATGAAGAAAGCCGAAGGGACTTGTAGAACACCATGAAGTCACCATTGAAGTGATATGATGATAAGCAGTAATATAGAACCCTATGAAAGTGGCAGAGAACCTATTTGAGAAATAATGACTGAATCTTTCCAAATCTGAGGTGAGAAATGAATATACAAAGACAAGAAGTTAACAATACTTCAAACTATGATAAATCTAAGGAGTATACACTGAGATACATTATAATCAAACTGTCAAAAGTCATAAACTCTTGATACCAACAGGAGGAAAGTGACTTATGACACTGAAGAGAGTGTCTATTAAGGGTACCAGCAGGTTTTTCAGCAGAAACCTTGAAGGCAAGAAGGGAGTGGGATGCTATATTCCAAGAAACAGAGGGAAAAAAGCCTGGCAACCAAAAATACTATATCTACCAAACTGTCCTTCAAAAATCAAAAAATTTAAAACTCTCTTAGATAAACCATAGGTGAGGGTGTTAATCACCATTAGATCTGTCTTGCAAGAAACACTAAAGGGAATCCTTTATGTTGAAATGAAAGAATGATAAACAGCAACATAGAATCCTATAAAAATATAAAACTCCTTGGTAAAGGTAAATATATAGATAAATACAGAATCCTGTGTTAAATCACATTTAAATCTAGTATGGAATTTAACAAAAAGAAAAAGAGTCATAAGTATATGTTAATGGATACATAATATAATTGGTGTCATCAATACCATAAATTGGGGAAGCAGAGATACAAAAGAGTATAGTTGTATACATAATTTAAGTTGTTATCAGTTTAAAACATTGTTGTAACTTTATTATTTTTTTTTTTTTGAGACAGAGCCTCAAGCTGTCCCCCTGGGTAGAGTGCTGTGTAACTTTAAAATAATTTATATAATTTCAATGGTAATTGCAAAGAAAATACATATAAAATATGTATAAAGGAATATGAGAAGGGA